GAGCCACGAGAAAGGAGGCAGAGAGAGAGAGAGACCATGAGAGAGAGCGAGACGAGACTGAGAGAGAATTCAAACATGGCGATTGCGCATATCCCGACAGACCGCGGCCAGCGCGTCCGACCAGCAGGGCAATGATGAATCACTTCAAGCTACTCTAATTACAGTCTCTCATAGAAACTCATGAGTCAAGCAAGCTGTGTGCATAAAGCGACGGACACGGAGGCACAGTATGTGTGAGTTGCTGTGCGGGTGCGTGTGCCGTGCGCGCGCGTGTGTGCGTGTGTTGTGGCTGGTGCTCTGTCTGGCGTGTTCCGCGTATGTGCAAACGTACGCACACACACAGGCACGTGCGCGCACACACGTACGCTCGGAGCATGCACATGAACGCACACATGTGAATCTGTACGGCATAGGTAAGAACCATCAGGTTTCACAGGTAAGTACGCACGCACGTACGCCCGCGCTCACTCACGCACACACGTACGAACGCACTCACTCATGCACGCACGCACACGCGCACGCACACGCCCGCACGTAACCCGCGCTCACTCACGCACACACGTACGAACGCACTCACTCATGCACGCACGCACACGCGCACGCACGCACGTAACCCGCGCTCACTGACGCACGCATGTACGCACGCGTTCAATCATGCACGCACGCACACGCGCACGCACGCACGTAACCCGCGCTCACTGACGCACGCATGTACGCACGCGTTCACTCACGCACGCGCGCACGTACGTACGCACTAACGCACGCAGACACGCACGTGCAACGACGCAAACAGTTTCGCCGTTCATTCCTGTGTCAGTGGATTTCACTATAGAATGCTTTACGAGGTTTATGGATAATACATATAGGTGCAGCGGGAGACCCTTTAACCCAGCCAAAATCATGTTAGCGATTCATTCAGCGCTGCTCGCTATCAGAATTACTCTAACAGAACGAACTCGATATACTACTGAATATCGCTATTCACTAGCCCCAGGTTATAGTTGTCTCCCTTCTTCTCATTCTGCTCTTCCTTCTCTTCCTCCTTCTGTAGCTCATCGTCCTCATCCTCTTCCTCCTCCTTCTCTTTTCTTTTTCTTGTTGTCCCTCTTCACCCCTCCTTTTTCTTCTCCTACATTTCCTCATCCTACACCTTCTCTTCCTAATACTCATCGCTCTCCTCTTTCTCCTCATCCTTACCCGCGCTCCCATTTGCACTTGAGAACATGGGCAGTTGATTGCAAATACTGATTGCATCGACAGAAAGACGAGCATGAGGTAGCATGATGACTAAACCTTGCCATCGATCATTGAATTAGTTAGTAGCGCATATGTGGTCTCGTGTATCTACAAGGTCACGCGTGTCACAGCGCCCCCTCGCGGTTGCCACAGCGCCCCATTACGCGTGACACAGCGACCCCTTGCGCGCGCCGACGTATATACACAAACGTGTCCTTATTTCGACCCCGCCTTCACCTACCTGAAGGCACGCAGACACGTGAAATATTGCATTCAAACGTGTTCAAAGGCTGCGGATATTACATATATACGGAGAGCAATCTTTAGTGTCCGTGAATCGTACCTCGGCTGCTGATTCAGGCGAGGGCCAGCAGATTCCTAACGGCTGCAGACGTGATCGAGCGGCTACGCCTGGTGGCGCGTAGTTAACGCTGCCCTGGGAGTGAGTGGCTGACGCACATTATGTCCTCCATGCAGGAAGTCGGGTCGCGTGCGTGAATATTTCCCACGAGACATGTCTTCGCAGATTCTAATCTTCGAGATAACATTCGAACCACTGAAGCGGAAGAAAAGACACGGGGTCCCACGTGTCCCCTAGCGGCCGTACTGCGAGACAACCTCTATTCCCACGATACGCCTCTGCGTTCGTCACCCTGTATGTAACAGCTGCGCCATCTGAGCGCGGAGTGGAGAGAGTAAAAGCGCGGAGGAGGGCGGAGAAAGGTACAGAGGAGGAAATGGGAAGATACAGAGGCGGGAGTAGGAAAGCGCGGTGGGGAAGGTACGGAGGAGGGAGTATGAAAGCGCGGTGGAGGGCGGGGAAAGGTACAGAGGAGGGAATGGGAAGATACAGAGGCGGGAGTAGGAAAGCGCGGTAGTGAGGGTTGTGAGAAAGGTTACAAGAGGAGGGAATGGGAAGATACAGAGGAGGCACGGAAGGAGAGAAGAGAAAACACGGTTGTGGTGGAACAAGTAACAAGGTGCAGACGAGGAGGAGGGAGCGTGCAGAGAAGCAGGAGACGAAGGCGGGACGAAGGGAGGGGGAAGTAATGACTATGAATGATAAAGGCGCGGAGGAGGGTGAAAGAAATGTGCGGAGGAGGGACGAAGAAGGCGCGATGAGGGAAGGGGAGAGGGGTACAGCAGTGCGTAATGGGGGTAACATTTGGATAGTGCTAGTGCTCGTTATATATTCATACGGCCAGCAGCGGTGGCAGCGACGGCGGAAAGGACAGCGCTGCTATCTGCTGGTCGTTTATTACTAACGAACACGCGCTGCTGCAGGGCATGAGAGTGTGAAGCGGGAGGGGGTTACTTATACGGAGCATTCTGATGAGGTGTCTATAGTTGCCTGTAAAGGAGAGACGGTCTAGGCTAAAGCTAGACACCTGGCAGGAAGGAGGAGGGAGACGACGAGACGATAGAAGGAGGAGTGGTGGGGATGAGAGTAGTGCAAGGGGACGAGGGGCGTTACTTATACGGAGCATTCTGATGAGGTGTCTATAGTTGCCTGTAAAGGAGAGGGTGGAGGCCTAGCTAGAGACCCTGGCAGGAGGAGGAGGGAGAGAGGAGCGAAGGGGAAGGAAGGAGAGAGTGGGACGAGAGTGTTGAGGGAGGCGGAGGGGGTACTATACGGAGCATTCTGAATGAGAGGTGTCTAATAAGTTGCTGTAAGGGAGAGGCGTAGGGCCTAGCTAGGACACCCTGGCAGGGAGGAGAGAGGCGAGAGAGAGCGAGCAGAAGGATGCGAGGCTGGAGAGGAGTGTGAGGGGGAGGGGCAGTTACTTATAAAGGAGATTCTTGATGAGGCGGTACTTAAGTATTGATTCTGTAATGGTTCGGAGGGGCTGGAGGCTGAGCTAGACGACCCTGAGGATGAAGGACGAGGAGATAGAGAGGGCGAAGGGAGGGAGAGGGTGGGAGAGGCGTGTGAGGGGAGAGGGGTTATTATAAGGCAGCATTTGATGAGGTGCTATAGTTGCCTGGTAAGGGAGAGGGTGAGGCCTAGCTAGGAGGGACCTGATCAGGAGGAGGAAGGAGCCGGGGAGCGAGGACAGCGGATGGAGGTGTGGGAGAGAGCTCGTGAGGCGGGAGGGAGGTTCACTTTATAAGGCCAGCATTCTGATGAGGTGGTCTATAGTTCGCGCTGTAAAGGGAACCTGCAGGTGGGGGCCTAGACCTAGAGACCCTGCAGCGGAGGAAGGGGGAGAGGGGCGCGAGGAAGGGAGGCAGGGTGGAGAGGAAGAGTGATGAGGGGGAGGGGGTTACTTATACGGAGCATTCTGATGGAGCGGTCTATAGTTTCTGTAAAGGTAACAGAGGGCTGAGAGGCCCTAGCTAGAGAACCCTGGCAGGACTGGGGAGACGAGGGCGAGGGAGGAGGAGGGTGGGAGGATAGAGGGTGAGGCGGGGAGGGGGTTACTTATCAAACGAAAAAAAATAAACACAAAAAAAATGCGATGCATTCTGATGAGCGCCTGTTAATAGTTGGTCTGTCAGGCGAGGGTGGCAGGCCTAGCTAGTGACCTTCAGGATGCAGCGAGACGGGAGAGAATGGGCAGCATGGTGAGGGAGCCGAGGGTGTGGAGTAGAGTGTGCAGGGGGAGGGGTTAACTTTTATACGGAGCATTCGATGAGGTGTCTATGTTGCCTGTAAAGGAGAGGGTGGAGGCCTAGCTAGAGACCCTGGCAGGCGGAGGAAGGGAGAGGCGTCGGGCGAGGAAAAGGGAGGTGGCGTGGAGAGGAGTGCGTGGAAGGGAGCGGACGGGTTACTTATACGGAGCATGCTGATAAGGTGTCTATAGTTGTCTGTCAGGGCGAGGGTGGACAGGTCCTAGACTAGAGACCCTGTCAGGATGAGGGAGCGGTAGAGAGGCGCGGTTACTCATCACGGAGCATTCTGTTGAGGTGTCTATAGTTGTCTGTCAGGGCGAGGGTGGGGCCTAGCTAGAGACCCTGTCAGGATGAGGGAGGGAGAGAGGGGGTTACTTATACGGAGCATTCTGTTGAGGGTGTCTATAGCTATTGTCTGTAGCGGAGATGAGGGTAGGGGCCTAGCGTAGGACACCTGTCAGGAATGAGAGGGGTTACTTATACGGAGCATGCTGATGAGGTGTCTATAGTTGTTTGTAAGGAGGAGGGAGGGAGAAAAAGAGCGAAAATTGAGTGAGAGAGAGAAAGAGTGAGACACAGAGAGTGCGATATGAGCTTGTAGATTCACTGTTTAGATGTAATATTATACGGAACATCTCTCGCCCGCGGCCCGACGTGGCTGTTATCGTGTCCCGACTCGCGTGTATAAGGCGGCGATGCGAGCGAGGCTGACAGACGATTTCCATAGATCTCAAACGCTCCGAAGAGATCCCTGAAGATTCCTAACCCGCTTCAAACGATCCATGCCATTATATATAAACGCGTGCCTGGGTGCGTGTGTCCGTGTATGCGTGCGTACGTGTGGCGTGTGTGTGCGTGGGCGTCTGTGTGCCCGCATGCGTTTATCAGAATTTTTTTCCCATAAAGGCGCGAGCTTTTCCTCCTCCTTGCTCGGTGAGAGGAACAGCGTGGCATTGAGAACGAGCGAACCGATAATCGCTTGAGTGCCGTCCCCGCCACGCTTCATTAGGCCACCAAAGGCAGCCTGCCGATCTCATTTACTCCCCCCGGCTCCGCTAGCTGTTTTTCTCGGCGCATTTGCTTACCTTTGATGTCGCGGTAATTGGCCCACGCGCTTGTACATACATCGGAACTTGTTTTCTTCCATTCAGATCGCGTGACGCTGGCCGCCGAAGATCAAGGAAAGATGGCAGTAAGCTGCTGATGTGACTCTCCGTACGGTGGCGTGCCATTCGCTCGTCGGCCATTCAAGCTGAGCTGAGATCGCCCCCGCACTAACGTTACACATGGTAACTACATTTCTCACGATCGTTAGCGTGAGTGTCGATAGCTGTGTCGTACAATCGTTAATAGTGCCACACGATCGTTAATAGTGCTACACGATCGTTTATAGTATCGATAGCTGTGTCACGTGATCGTTTAACACGATCGTCATCAGGTTCACGGTGTCGTTAATCTTGTCACCGTGTCCTTAACTGTGTGACGCGGTCGTTAACAGTGTCGTTAGTCGTGTCATAGTGTCGTTAGCTGTGTCGTAGTGTCGTTAGCTGTGTCGCACATTCGTCAACAGCTTCGTTAGCGGCGTGACACTATCGTTAACACTGTCGTTAGAAGCCTCATCAGTGTCAAGATGAAGTCACAGCAGGTGATAGTAACGAGCAGTGCCACCAAACTGAAGACGGAGAAAGTGCCGTGTGTCGTTATCGTCACGTGTCGGACGCTGCTGTGGCTGCTGTTGACCTGTGTCACTGGCCTCGTCATCGTCGCCGCCGTCATGTCACCGCAGTGGATAGTCGGACCGCCCGACCCGGTCGCCGCGACCCCTGGTGAGCTATCGACGCAGAGTGACGCCCCCTATTACGTGACGCTTGGCATCTACAACCGCTGCACGCGGCTGCAAACGTACGACGCGTTCTTCAGCGACGCGTGCGCCCCCTTCGTGGAGGGTCTGAACATGCTCGACCAGACGTGGTCGAACTTCTGGAAGACGGCCGTAATCTTCTTCGGCATCGGTCTGCTGCTGCTGCTCATCACCATAGCAACGGGACTGCTGGGACTCTGCGTGCAGGCGATGTGCAAGAAGAGCTTGTTCGTCATCTGTGGTCTCGTGCAGGCCATAGCTGGTGAGTGGGAGAGGAAGGGGAGGAGAGCGGGAGGGGAGAAGGATAAACAGGCGTGAACTCTTGCAGACAAAAGCTGGTGAATGGAAGAAGAAGAGGGAGAGTAGTGGGGGAGTGGTGGGAGACGAGAACGGGGCGCTGTCTCGCGAAGGCAATAGGTTGTGAACACGTGCGTACGTTCGTTCGTGCGTGCGTGCGTACATGCGCTGTCAGTTAGAGCTTTCATTAGGTTTCCAACATCACCAAATGCAATGACTAAGTCGGGTGTGCGTATGCGCTGTGCCCCGGGCACGGTTGACGGTGCGAGGGTGAGCATGAGTTGTTGATGGCACGGTACGCACTCTTTAATGCATGCACGCATCAGCAGCAGCAGCAGCAGCAGCCGGAACAGCCATAGCAGACAGTTATCATCGATACTGCTGTCAAAACAAATTGCTACACCGAACACGTAGCGAAATAGAACGATAGTTTAATGCTAATTAAAACATATCGCGTCGATTAAATAATTAATTTGATTTTCATCGACGTTGGGAGAAGAGCGGGATTACGTTTCGCTAAATAATTTAGCTTCCCTTCCTCCCTCTATCCCTCCCGCTGCTGCTGCTATTTGGCACCGTTACATTACGGGTCACAGAGATTAGTGAATTTCTTCAGGTCAATATTGTTGTTTTTGCCCAGGACTCTTCTTCATCGTGGCCGTCGTCATGTATCCGGTGGGCTGGGGATCCACCAGAGTGCAGCACCTATGCGGTACCAATTCAGGGATATTCGTCATAGACAAGTGCAAGCTAGGTAAGCATCGCTTAGCCTACATCGCACGCTCGCACGCCCTCTCTCTTCGTATATACACCTATATAGAGAGATTAGATACCGCTTAGATACCTATATACACATGCACGCGCGCGCGCACAAACCCGTACGCAGACTCACACACAGCAAACGCACGCGCTCACGCACACACACGCACACATGCGCGCACACACGCACGCACGCACGCACGCACGCACGCCGAGGGCGATAACCAGGCGACTGCCTCTCTCTGAACACCGATATAATTAGAAGAGGCGCGGAAGTTAAGAAGAGCGCCGAAGAGGAGCGAGGGAGGGTGAAGCTAGTGATCAATAATGCGGGCGGTATGCCTCAATTGACTGGCAGGACAGCCGTGCGCCGATAGGCAATCGCGCGAAATTAAAAAAGGAAATCCGCCGGGAGCCGGAACAGGTGACCGAACCCGCGGAAGTTGTCCCATGTACTTGTCGTCAGCCTCGTCGTCGTCGAGTCGTCGTCGTCGTCTCTCGTCGTCTGTCGGTCGTCGTGTCGCGTCGTCGCTCGTCGTCATTGTCGCTGTCGTCGTCGTTGTCGTTATCGTTATCAGTTGTCGTCCCGTTGTCGTTGTCGTTATTGTTGCTTATTGTTTGTTATTGTTGTGTTATGGTTCTTGTTGTGTTGTTGTTGGTGTGTTATTGTATATATATTCTATATATATATATATATATATCTATAATTACATATATGTGTGTCGGGAGGGTGTGCGTGCGTGCGTGCGTGCGTGCGTGTGTGCGCGCATGTGTGCGTGTGTGTGCGTGAGCGCGTGCGTTTGCTGTGTGTCAGTCTGCGTACGGGTTTGTGCGCGCTCTCGTGCATGTGTATATAGGTATCTAAGCGGTCTCTAATCTCTCT